AGCTCTTAGTCTTTCAGTGACTGAAAGTTCTTCTTAGTATCAAATCAGATCTGGTTTTATAAACTGTATATGTTGCTGTTAATCAACTTGAAGCATTTTGTTCATTCCAGTTATTGTTAATGCACATGCCTGCATACGTACACCCCAGTGTCCACCTCTTATCTGTCACAGTAGTTATTAAAAAAACTTACCACTTTGTCTGCAAATTGTGTGAGGATTTTGATGTATTTTAAGACCTGTTTACTGTTTACCTTTAGAAAAACATAAGCCTGTAATCAGACTTCCGTAAGAGTGAATATCTTCTATTCTTACTGTTAGCAGATATTTCTGTAATTACCCTTTGCTGGTACGTGTTTTGTGGGAGATTGGTAGCTGGTTTTTTCACCCATAGCGTCTATTACTTCTCCGCACTATCACGTTTCCTTTATTTTCCTTTAACAGTGCCTTTAAGTTTTGGGGTTTGTTTTGGTTTTTTTCCCTGATCTATGAATGCAGTCCAAGATAAATCTTGCAGAATTTCTGTAATGCTCTAAACGACAGTTTCATCCCCTCTCCCCAGTCTCCTGCTCTTCCCCTCATCCTTCCATCCCTTCCCTCTTGTTTGTTTGTTTGTTTGTTTTGGGTTTTTTTAAATGAAGTGAGATTTGCTTTGCGAGTAGTCAGGTGAGTCTCAAAGGAATGCTGTATTAGTCCTTGGAATGCTTTTATAGCAGTACATGCCATGCACAACAGCATTGATGGTGACTCACTGCTTCATCAAAGGCTGGTGGTGTTCAGAAGCTTTACCTTTAAGTAGGATTAAAAAGAGGTACAGAGAGATCACATTTTTCACATTCTGTGAAAAGATACTAATTCACTGTTATTGCTAAATTTCCCCCTTTTGTCTTTTGAAACTTCTGGAGGAGTGTAATACTGACTTCTGGCTTAAACTACTGGCTCTGTTGGGGTGCTGACTAGTGTCCAGTCTGAAACAGCTACCCCACTTCATTATTAGAGCTGACCATCAGTAATGGATGACGCAATTCTGTTATGTTTCTAAGGTACTTTGGAGGTTCTCCGGAATGAAAGGTGCTATGTGCATGTTTCTGGATTGCATAGGCCTGTTTTCCCTACCCTCTTCCATATTTATCCAGCAGATTAGTTCCCAAAAATGTTAGTAATGCTGCTTGTATTTTTCTTGCCTGACTTCTTTGGACTGTTTTAATTTTTCTGGTTTATACTACAGCGCATCTTTAGTATTGATTCTACTCTTTTTTGCTTTGCCTTCTATAAGCAAGTGGGTTTTAGCTGCTTGCTCATTGGCAGCGAAACTGATGCGTAGTGTTTAAATCAGATACAGTATTGTAGTCTATATCTGTGCATTTGTTACTTTATTCCTACCTGATATTGTGCCTTTTTTGCCTACTTTATGAACAGATTTCTGGTGCTTAGTCAAGAATGTCCTATCAGTATTCTATGTGTATCTGTGCATATAAATAACTGTGTTCTTATTTATTCAAATTTGGTCTGGTTTTGAGCGTAATGGCTTTTTCAGTTCTTTCCTTATTCCTTCCATAAATAGAGGAGCTAGTGAACTTTCTTCAGCATCTCAATATTTTTAGTTTTAACTTGACTGATTTCCCTGCTGGCCATTTTATTTGCTGCTTGCTACTTTCTTCCTCCAGAAGTGATAACAGTGAGGTGATGCTCTGAGCTGTGATGAAAATTCTACCTAGGAAAATCAATTACTTTTTTTGACTATGTAATCACTACATTTGTAGAAACACAAATAGGCCTTAGATCAGGACTGTAATGCTGAAGAAGTTTGTGATTTTTCCCTTTGCTGGGAAAATTTTTAATTAAAAAAAAAAACAGGAGGAGGGAGAAAGGGGAAAAAAAACCCCAAACCAATAGTATTTAACACACAGGGATTGAATTTCTATGATGAAGCTGTAAACACCATTACGTCCTCATGTTTTCAATGTGGCATTCTATGTAGGTAGTTAAGTAGATAGCTTTAGAGGTTCATATATCTGAAGCACGTGGCTGGCTACTTGCTCTACTGTTTGCACAAAAGTAGTGATGTAGAAGTTAAGACTTACTACATTTACTGTTCCATTGGGAATATTGGCTTCAGAATCTAATTGTCTTTATATCCGCCATTGATCTGCAATTATAAAAGTGAGCAGCAAAGGCCTGGCTGTAACTGCTCATGTAGTAGTGCCTTTCATCTTGAAATCTCAAACTGCTTTGTAAATATGAATCTTAACACGAAAAAAAGCAAGGCACAGTTGCCTAAGACTTGCCTACTGTTACACATTAAATTAGCACCATACTTTTGAGATTCCTTACTCACTAAAATACTGTGGAATACAACGATCTTTAAGATTGTAAGAAAAAAGTATATGTAAAACTGGAGACGCTCAATTTCTGACTCGTTTCAGGAACAGGGGTACATTTGCTAAAGGAGGGAGCCTGCCAGTCATAAACACTGGCTGAGCATTAGCTTAATATAAACCAGCAGAATGCAACTACTGTTCAAATAAACTAACTTCAGAGTAGGTGGAATAAATAGGGTTTTTTTGAGAAAAGGAAAACATCTATTTTGCAAGTACCTTCATTTTATTAGGGTTTAATACTGGAACATGTCTCCAGACCGCTTTAACTTGGCTCTTTACCTTCCTTAATTTGGATTCGTATACTTATATAAAAATAATTGTATTTGTGATTGTGTTTTTGTGTCAGTGATTAAACCTCAGCAAATATTGCCAGAACACCCAAACCCTCAGTAATACTGGATATTGTGTTTGACTGATTTTTGCATTCTCTGAACAGTAAAACCATTCCCATTATCTTGGTAAGAATTCTCATAAAGTATCGCAGTTGCCCACACGAACTCAATCAGAAAAATGTGCATGTGTTGAATCAGGAAGCAAAGTCAATATTATGTGATTATACCTAATAGATCACAGCTGAAATAATATACACAGTTTCAACAGCAAAGTAACTGTACGTGCTTTTAAAGAAAGAAATCTTACTGATTGAAAATACAGTGGAGGAATTTAACTGCTTGCAGATACTTCAGGAATTGAAAGAAGTTCAGTTACTGGACTATTTGTTGAATACACTTTCTCAGTTCTTCTTGGCAAACTGGAGGTTTGCTATGGTAAAACTATTTTATTAATAAAATTTTTAGAAGAGTTTCATCTTTCATACCACAGTTTAATAATAGTTTTTTAACCTTAAACAAAATTATCCTTCCTGACAAAATTCAAGAAACAAACAAGACAGAACAAAACCCTGCACACTGCACATCCATAGGGCTATTAAGATCTACCATATCTACATAGGACAGAAGATAAGATTATTGGACTGACTACTAGTCCTCTGCGGGGAAACAAGACTACTATTCCTCAGTGGATCTACGTGTGCATCGGAGATACCTATAAGACACAAAAAGAAGACTTTTTAACAAGGTTAGTTAGAGTGCAATCTACCTGCGGAGTTGCAAAACCGAGGGCAGACAGATACAAAATTATTAGTTCTTCAGTTAGCTTGTTGACATCGCTGCGTGCTTTCTCCAAGCACCCTGCACTGGATGTGCTGCTTCAGATGAAACCTCAGTAGTGGTGTTCATTAGGCAGTGCCCTCATTTCTGTGTGGGGGCTTTACCCCTCCCTTTGGTGATCTGTTTTAAAACAAAGAAGTTGGGATGTTGCTTCTCTTTTAAAGCTTAATTTCTACTTTATCTTCTGGAACATAAAAGTGTGTTATGCCAGTCTAGGTGATAACATTATTTAAAATAGCTTTTTCAGAGCGTTCGATCTGTGTGCTCCTGTGTTGGGGATGTGTATATATATTTTTATTTATTTTAATTGGCTGGAGAGCAGGGAATAATCAGAAAAAAGAGCATGAATGTTGTTCTGTATGATGACATCCGAGAGGTTGGTTTTTTGGATTTTTTTTTTCTCTCCAAAGTGTCTTTACTGATCAAGGGTTGAATATTATGGTGTGAAATAATACAGAAAGAATTGATATTTTTATTAAATTTGTAAACACTGAATTTACAGATGAGGCACGCAGCTCTAATACTGAATGTTTTTCTTCCCATGGAAATATTTTTATTTCTGGCTTCCTTCCTTCTTTGAAGATTATTAAGGAAAAGATGAGTTTTTCAGCAGTGTAGCAGACTCTTCAGTCAGCTTTCCAGTTTGTGATGGAATTGTGGGGTCCTTCCCATCTTGCTGTTCTTTGCCTTTGAAAAATAGTGCATTTTATATATCTTCCCAACTGTCTCCCCAAGCCTTTTTAATGAGTGGATTATAAATGACTGCTGTTTTTATAAAATTGAGAATTAATAACACTGACAAGCGTGCAGCTTCTGTGACATACTGTAAAGTTAATTTTGATTGTCACTGTGATCCCTACCTTCAAAGCTAGCAGTGCTTAATATCGTTTGTTTCCCCGAGTATTTCATTGCTTGGGGCTGCTGGTTTTTCAAATTGGCAAGTATTGATTTATTTGATAACGCACTGATGCACTCACTGTCCCATCACTCTTTTCTGATTCTTTTTTCAAGAACTGAGAGTTGTAAACCAAAGAAGGCCATACACATACTAAAACTTGGGGACAAAAAAAAGAGTCCCATGATAAGTAAGGAAGCCATGCATCATAATTACACATTTGCCTAACTTGACTGCCTTTTTCCCCCCATTTATGTATTTCGACAGACAGCTGAGTAGCTGCCTCTGTTAGGAGATCTGTCCTTTCTCTTCTTTTCCCCACCCTGTACTGTCCCCTCTGATCATTTTTTGTACCCTCTCCATTCCAGCATGGTAGCCTGAAGCCTAATTCTGTAACTTTTTGAGTATTACTGCTATTACTATAGAAAGTAATTGTCCCATTTTGTATGCAATATATCTATCTCACATGTGCAATGTTTGTTTTTACTTTGAAATCCATGGTCAATGTCTTCTTTCATGGCAGAAAAGAGGGGATCTGATGATAAAAAAAGTAGTATGAAGTCCAGTAGTCGAGAAAAACAGAGTGAAGACACAAATACAGACTCGAAGGAGAGTGATACTAAGAATGAGGTCAATGGGACCAGTGAAGACATTAAATCTGAAGGTGACACTCAGTCCAATTAAAACTGATCTGATATGACCTCAGATCAGACAGAGGTAAGTGCATTATTTCAAACTTTGATTAGGGCTTTTTGTTACTGTTTAACAGTGCAGCGTAAGTATGCACAGATGAAGATGGAACTAAGCCAAGTAAGAAGACATACTAGAGCACCTTCTGAAGGAAAAGACAGTGTAGTCCTGCAAAACATTTTGAGGTACATTGTTTTGTCTCAGCTATTTTGTAGCAGACTCGTGCCCCCATTAGTGTGCCTCTTTGGGACATATTTGTAATATAGTCACCATAGAAAAATTAATTATCCTTTTTTTATTTTTAGGGATTTTGTTATCGTTTTTTTAAAAAGTTGAACTGTTTTTGTATTTAAGTCCATATTGTGTTGGTACATCAGCAGAAACTTTTGCTTTAATACTTAATATTTGAGGCACATGTTGGACTACTTTGTTTTCATATAAACTGCTAGTATTTCTTTGTCAAGGATGTTTCTAGTTTTTTTGCTTTATTGCCTTGCATTCTAATGCAGTTTGTTCTGTAACTCGAGAGCCAGTAGCATTGGATTGATGGAAGTGTAGGGTTTATGAATTATTGCAGCTGACTACCATACCTCACACAGCGTTGGTGTTGTGAGCGGCCCATGAAAAGCCAAATTAAAAATCAAGGATTCAGTCAAACTAAGCAGGTACTCATGCCAGGTACTCCTTTCTCTACCCACATCCATGTTTGAATGCTGTTGCCTGTAATCTTTAAGCTTACTGTTGTGTTTTTGATTTTCAAGATAGTGAAAAGGACTTTTTGTGTATTGTGTGAATACTGTTAATCTGATGTTAACAGAATGGAATTTTCTTTCAACTGTATGTAGGGATGCAGTGCTGCCCAGAATTAGATATCTTTAAAGAGTTTAAAATGCAATAAACACTACATAATAATCGCCTTGTTACTTTCAATGCAATTCAAGTCTTTAAGAGGTATGTGTTTAATATTTCCTACTGTGTAGGAGAATTTGCAGTCAGCCATAGTACAGAGAAGTGGAGTGGCTGATAACAGACTTCTAAGGCAAATGTAGATGCAAAGACAGATGCCACCGAATTATTACAGTGTTCATGGCAAGAATGTATGCTGAAAAACTGTTTGTTGGAAATGAAAGAGCTAAACAATAGGAAATACAAATACTGTGTTAAAAGGAAAACTTGAAGTTTTTTCCCCCACGCTTGACATAGCTTTCTTACTCTTACAGAAGGTCTTTAGTTGTATACCTGAAATAGGAACTAACAATGGAGAGTACAGCTGATAATGAGCTTCTTGCAGCATAAATTGTTACTGTAGTTTCATTATTTATGCTAGAAACTCTTCAACACTTAATGTTGATTATTAAACCATTAATGCTACATTATTGCTTCTAAAGCCAGTTATGTTCAATGTTGACATTTTTGTAGAGTTAAGATGACAGCTAACAACTGGGCCAATATATAGAAATGGTAAACTAAATACTCTTAATGCTGTCTAATTGTCTGTTTTCCCAAAATTTTGCATTATAGGACTACTACATGAAGAGTCTGCGAAGACAGCGGAAGACAGCTTAAACTGAAGATCTGCTTTAAAATGAGGTGAAAGAAAGCTGTAGTGGCGTAGAAAAATATAAAGTTGAGTTAGAAATTTTTTTTATAAAATTTAATTCAGGACTGGTGTTTCCTCCCAGAGTTCAGAAAGATGTGTTGATAATAGCACATATGCTACTGAGAATATAAGTCCTGTATCCTTTTTTTCTTTAAGACTTTTTAAGATAAGAAAGCAACATAACCTGAACACATGGCTTGCTCAGTGTTTAATTGCAAGTTTTCATTCTTGGACTTTAAAACACAAGAATAAATGTTTAGTATTTGTGTGAATCGAACTAAAATGAATCCCATTTTTACAACTAAGCTATTCCTAGCTTCTTGATATACAAGAAATGGAAATAAAGTATCTTTGAATTTCTGTTACAAACTTGATTGTCTCTGTCTTTGAACGTTTAATATTAAATAAGTTTCTTTCCTAATAAATCTGCTCATGTCTTCAAGCTTAGTCCATTAATTTGGATGCTTAGTTATTCTGTGGTGTTTGTGGGTTTGGGGTTTTTTTGGTGCCATCAGTATTGCATTTCAAGCTGGATTTTTCAGCAGTTAGGCAGCTGTTGGATTCTGTGTCCCCTAAAAAGCGTCACTTATGCTGCAGTTGGTTAAGAAAGTATAGAAAACTAGCAATAAAATGTAAGCTTTAAACCTTTATAAAGCAGTTAGACTTCTACAGCGTTAGCATAAAGATGCCGCTTCCGAGATTGGCCATCAGCCTTTGTGTTTGCATTGTGGTATCAGTTTGTAATATTAATGAACAACTGTGTGCAGCCGCTAAGCATGCACCGTCTGCATGTTCCAAGAGATACAAGGGAAAAGAGCTTGTGAAGCTATAGTGTAAGCAAGCGGAGTTCTTGTTGGAAAAGGACTGCAATGTGCACTAGTCAGCAGTAGAGATAGAAGAGCGTACTTTGGTGTCTGTAAGGCACTGACTTATTTTTAAAAGAACATTATCCTTCATACTAGTGTTTAAGGACTTGGCTATACATGTAACTGAAGTCATACATGGACAAAGTGCCATTCTAACTTGCTTGTTCTAATTTTGGTATGCCTTGCCTGTTTGTGGAAGTGCACTTGTAAAAGGGCCTGCCTGATGGTCTCTCTGGTGAAATGGAGTGCTGTGCCTTTGATAAGGAGGGAGACCATGTGGAAAAAGCCATGTTCCCTTTGTAACTTGTATCTGGCTAAAGCAGACACCATACGGGGGCCCAGAGGGTTGAGACTGGGTGGTGGGTTTGTTGGGAAAAACTTAACAAGAAAAATTAATGCAAGTTGGAGCAAGTAAAATTATAACTAGTTCTAATTATGGACATTGCATGAACATCTTTTTCTTTTGAAACTTGTGTAAGAGACACGATTCAGCTACAGCCTGAATGTGTTACTTCTTTCAGTGGGCAAAATGTTTGTCTTGCACATTATTTGTTATAGGACTAGCATTTCCCTTATTTTGCACAGGTATAAATGACAAAATGAGGTAACATGTAGTAAATTGGGCTAGAATTCAGATTGTCATGTCTGATAGTGGAGTCTTCTCAAGCACATTGAGGATGAAGGGGGGAAAAAAATCTGTGTTTCAGAGCACAGAAAACACGGTGCCTTTCTACTACCTACCCTCAGATTTTATTGTAATGAGTATCTCTACAACAGATTAATCTATGTGAAAAGTGTCATCTTCAGAGACTGAGCCCAAGATGAATATCGTCTCCAATTTTCTAGGAATGCTATGCAAAAAGCAAGTAACTTACTTAACTAAGCACCTCCTACATGCTTTCGCTATACTGGTTTTGGCAGCCTGACAGTGTTTTTACTAGGCGTTAAAAATGTACTGGACTTGACTTTTCAAAGTTGTGTTAAAATTTTAAGAGGGTCCTGCCCACTCTAGAGTGCCCATGGATCACATTCCCCCCCCCCCGCCCCGTACTCCC